TGCAATGAGCCCAGACGTGATGATACTCGTCAACATTACCAGTCCCTATGATTATCGATCTGCTGATGAAATGACAAACAATCATAATATGTGTGATGATAGAATGAGGTGAGAATCATACACAGACGAAGGAGGAGAGAGGGAGAATAGACAAAGGAGAGAGAAGAAGACRACAGCCCACTTCTACYTCGGRTTCCTCCTCCTCCTCGCCACCTCATCAATCAATAGACTGAATACAATGTCTGAAGTTCCTCCTCAAGGTGCCACGTGGCACGTCAATCTGTCTACATCAGCAAATGGAGAGTATCGTCATCAACCAGGTACGTATCCTCGATAACCACAGTCCTGATCTCCTTCCRAAGTGACGAAGAATCAGAACAGCCTCATCAACCTCGCAGCCAGCCACGTCATCAATCATATACAGGTGGCAGCRKCCACGTCAGCAACGGYGCGTGGCAGCTGCCACGTCAGCATGCCCARAAGRCCATCGCYAGCCAGCACCTTGSCAGCCAGCAGCGCCTTGCTGTCCTCCTCTGCCAGCATATAGCCGGCATCAAGCCAATGTCGCAATGTCGCAGCATAGYAACAGCGTCAAGTCCAYGCGTGAAGTCARCATTCACGCAAGACTGAATGTTCTCCAGCCAGGAAGTCAACTCTTAAATWGCGTGRATGCGGGGTCTGGACCCCGGGTACTGRGGTCCTGCACCGTCCAGATCTCGATATGAATGAGGGCCCAGATCGGCCAGAAACTGTATTTCTCCCGCCCTGAATGTTGTCTGGGTACCTGCACACAACAAGTGAATRTATCCGTCCATAGGCCTGGGTACGGTACCTTTGACTCTACAGTTGTCTTTGACTGTTGAATTTCCCTTGTGCTGCGTTTGGTCACACAGCCTCCTCGACAGACTCAGGCTGGGCATGTCTCGGTCACATAGTCCAGCACAGACAACTGAGTCTGTGTCTTACCGGGGGCAAAGTTCTGAGCCCCGGTCTGCTGTTGAACAGGGTTACTGCATTGTGCAGGTTTCGGAATGTGCAAGTTTAGAGGGGGGCTCTAAAACTGCGCCAGTCCTTACCCGCAGTGGCGTATGGCAGATTTAGTGTCGCCTTTTTTGCTCCATTTCGCGAACTGCTAAAGTTGCCTATTCTGAACCTTGGGTGTGACTCCAACGCACTTGCACTTTTTTTTTAATAACGAACTTCTTTTGTTAGAGACCGCAGGTGTAAAATAGTTATGCAAACTAATCACATGCTTGAGTAGACTACATGTGCTTTCATCCGCGGAGCACAGGCTGCAAACTAGCGCCAAATCGCATCTAACCACTGCTTTTGTTGCCGTAAGCGGAAAAAGGTGATAAGGTACTTTCCACACCAGACTACCTTTGGTAGCAGTAGAGCCGCATAGAACGGTTAAAAAGGTTCTTTCCGCATCATAATGGCCTTGGTAGCAGTAGATCAGCGTAGAACTTTAAAACGGCCAGGAAACAATCTCCTTCGCACTGTACTTAACAGCTGCCTGGAGACGATGGGTTCCGCCAACCGCTTTGACTTGATAGAGGATATGTCCGGCCCGGGTGTGTACGTTACAGACATTTCCGAGCGTGACGTTCCAAGCTATGGTAGCACTAGTCCGGCTAGCTCTATGGCGCCGTACCGGGAGTGCTGTTCAAACAGTCCTACTGGCGGAAGGCACGATGCGAGGACGGTGGGTTCGAGCTGTCCCAAAGGCCAACAACGCAGCGGCGACGGGCGTGGCAATGGTGCAGGTGATGATGGTGGTGATGATAGTGACGCTGGATTTGGCCCTGGTTGGGGTTTGGTGGAGGAGCAAAAGGAGGAAATGCTGGATTCAGGCTACTTCAGAGAGCAACAAGGCGGCAGTGGTGGTCGTGGCAGAGGTACAGGTCGTAATGGTGTCGGTGGCGACGGTGGGTTGGAAGGTTGGAACTCTGCCGCCATTCCAGGCACACCAGATCTTCTTAATGTCACCCCAGCCGACACGCCCTCCCCATCGAACAGGGAGAGAGGCCCTGGTCGGAATTCGGGGGAGGAACGACTGGAGACGATGGTTGATTCGAACCGTGTTATAGGACAACAACGCGGCGGCGGTGGGCGTGGCAGGGGTGCAGGTCGTAATGGTGTCGCTGGTGACTGTGGTTTGGGAAGTCGGAGCTCTGGCCCCATTGAAGGCACAGCAGATCTGCCTAATGCGGCCCCAGCAAACATCCTCTCTCCATCGAACAGAGGGAGAGGCCGTGGTCGGAATTCGGGGGAGGAACGACTGGAGACGATGGAGGATTCGAGCCGTGTTATAGGACAACAACGAGGCGGCGGTGGGCGTGGCAGGGGTGCAGGTCGTAATGGTGTCGGTGCTGACGGCGGTTTGGGAAGTCGGAGCTCTGCCCCCATTGAAGGCACAGCAGATCTGCCTAATGCGGCCCCAGCCGACATGCGCTCTCCATCGAACAGGGGGAGAGGCCCTGGTCAGAATTCGGGGGAGGAACGACTGGAGACGATGGTGGATTCGAACCATCGTAGAGGGCAACAGCGCGACGGCGGCGGCGGCGGCGGCGGCCATGGCAGTGGTGCAGGTGGTGATGATGGTGATGGCGGATTCAGCCCTGGTCGGAACTCGGAGGACAAACGGAATGACAGGATGATGGACCCGGACCACCCCAGAGGGCAACAACGCGGCGGCGGCAGCAGTGGTAGGACTGCAGGCCGTAATGGTGGTAGTGGTGGCGGCGATGTTGGAAGTTGGGACTCTGCCGCCGCCACTGAAGGCACTTCAGCTCTTCCTAACGCAGACGCAGGCAAGACGTTCTTCGCATCGGACAGGAACAGATGCCCTCGCCTGAATCCAGGGCAGGCGAGCAGGGAACCGTTGACGGATTCAGGCCATCGAAGAGGACATCAACGCGGCGGGGGCGGCCGTGGTACTAGTGCGCATGCTCGTGGTGGTGATGGTGGTGATGGTCGATTCGTCCCTGGTTGGAGTTCGGAGGAGCAGCGGAAGGAGAGGTTTATGGATTCGAACTGCCCGGTCGACCGCGGCCGCGGCCGCGGCCGTAACCGGGGTGCAGGTCGTAATATTGGTGGTAGTCAAGGTGGTTTGGGAAGTTCGGATGCTGCCGCCAGCCAAGGCACTCCAGATCCGCCTGATGCGGCCGCAGCTGACACGTTTTGTCTATCGGACGGGGGCAGAGGCCCTCACCGGAAGGCGGGGAACCAGCGAAGGGAGAGGACGAGGGATTCGGACGATTCCGGTGGAGAACAACGTGGCGGCAGCGGCCGTGGCAGCGGGGCAGGTGGTTACGGTTGTGGTGGAGACGGTGAAATCGCCAGTGGCTTGACTTTGGAGGACGAGAGAAGTGAGAGGATGGTTGACTCAGGTCGCCCCAGAGGACAACAACGCAGCAGCAAGGGCCATGGCAGTGGTGCAGGTGGTGGCGGTGGTGATGAATTCGGTCGTGGTTGGAATGCGGAGGAGGAGAGGATGGTGCCTTCAGACCTCCCAAGTGGACAACAATGCAGCGATGGGGGCCAGGACAGTGGTGCAGGTAGTGGTGGTGGCGATGAATTCGGTCGTGGTTGGAACTCGGAGGAGGAGAGTATGGTGGATTCGGACCATCCCAGAGGACAACAACGCCGCGGTGGTGGCCATGGTGGTGGTGCAGGTGGTGGTGCAGGTGGTTATGCGGGTAGTAGTGACGGTGGATTCGGACCTGGTTGCAGTACGGAGGAGGCGCGAAAGGAGGGGAAGATGGATTCGGATCGCCGCAGACGGCAGCAACGCAGCGTCGGTGGCCGTCGCAGGGGTGCAGGTCGTAACGGTGGTGGTGGTGGGGGTAGTTCGGGAAGTTGGGATTCTGCAGCCTGTGCATGCCCTTCAGATCCGGCTACGCCCGACCCTTTGGACAGATGTCCTCGCCGAAATGCAGGGGAGGGGCGAAAGGAGACGATGAGCGATATGGACAGTTCCAGCGGAGAACAATACGGCCGCCCCTGTCGTGGCAAAGCCGGTGCTGAAGTGATCAAACTGCGCGCCCTTGGGCGCACAGCCCATCTTTGGGACCTGTATGATTTATCCACCGACACTTTCTGCCAAAACCCCTACGGCGAGAACATCAAAGCCTTGTCGACGGACCGAGTCGGGCAGGTTTCGAAGGCCTGTCCATCTCTTAACGTGAGCCACGTGCTCGATGATTCTCCATCGATAAGGTTCCAAACCCTGGGTGTCAGCTCTCAGCTCAAGCTGAGCATACTTGGCGGTCTGTTCTGTCCGCAGGGAACGGGGTCATACCTTGTAGATAGAACCACGGGTGGAGGCGGAGAGCCGGGGGCCGTCAAGGCGACTCTCTTCTGCCAGGTCATCGCAGGCGAACACCACTTGGAGCTGTCCTCCGGCTCATCTCAACAACTGTCGAAGGAGATCGAGGCCGTCCTCAGCAGTAATCAGCCGGAGACGGCGTGGGCCACGCATTTTGTCAGTCGAATCGTGTTCGGGGCTACCCTCGTGGTGTCCGTCACCTCGTTCAACGCCTTCCAGGGATTCCCTTCAGAGGTAGGCCGTGAGACGTACCGCGGTACTCCTGCTCGTTATGGACAGCACGAGGATTGGGGGTGCGGAGGACGAGGAAGAGGATATGGCCTTCACTGTCAAGATCTCTGCCGACTTTCTCCAGCAAGGACGAGCGCAAGGGGCTCCTAGCACCCTACGAGACCTGGAAGAGATTCTGAGGAAAGCTACGAAAATTCGGATGCAGAATCAAGGGCAGGCCGTCCCCGTCATCATCTACCTGTCTCGATTATCGGATGTGCTGCTCTCAGAGAGCGCCGTCAGACTGCTGAAGTGGGATGGTTCATCGCTACTGCTGCATCCGGACGAAGACACCATCGCTGGAACTGAGCGGCTTCTCCAGGAGGTTCATCACATCCAGGGAGAGGTGGACTCCCTCCTCTACGACACGGACTCCGCCATCCGTTCTCGTGGCAACCATTTGATCATTATGTCAGACATCTATCGTCTGCAGGAGCTCAAGGAAAGACTCTCAACCAGCCTGGAGGAACTCATTGAGCGGGTGGGTCGCATGACAGTCTGCATTCGGCGATCGCAGGGAAGGGAGGACTCGAGTGGAATGAGGTCGATGCTGGAGAACTTCCGATGCAAGTGGCTGTCAGATAGCCCGCGCGATCAGGTGGCGACAGCAAGGGCTTCTTTCGAGAAGAGGATGTCGTTCTTCAATGAGCTCCAATGCAACGGCATCACCTTCACCGCCACGTTGGACTACGATGCACAGATGGCCGAATGCAACATATTATCAGGACACACGGACGACAGCGTTTACATTCTGGTGCATCATCAAGATGCGCCACATGCCGAGCTTTGGCGAAAGCACATGGACATGCTCAAGCGTGTCGTGGACGAGAGCAAGAGTGGCCACGTCGTCAGTAATCGCGAATGCCATGGCGACCACGGTGAAAGAGGGCTAAGGGGGTTCAAGTCGCGTCCCCCAGGTATGGCCCGGGGAAGCGAAGGCAGGAAAATGGCTTCTGCTCCTTTCTTTTACTACTTGGAGCTTCAACGGGAGGATTCTCACGATGGACGTCGACAGGTGCCCGACAAAGCAGCTCGCCTGCCAAGGACTGTGATAAGGTTCTATCAGAGGTGCAGACTGGTGCACGAGGACTGTGCACAACATATGGACACAATTGGCACACTCTGCCTCGTCAGATGCGAGGAGATTCAGAAGCTCCCCAACGAGGAGACGAGTGGCAGCAGGGACGGTCCTCAGAAGAGGACTACACCCCTTCAGATCAAATGTCCTGGAGCCGTGTACGGGGAGTGCGCTTCAACAATCCAATACTGGTACTGCGACAGGTGTTACGTTCAAGTGGAGTACGATTGGCATGGTTATGTGTCCTGCTATTGCGGACGGGCTCCTCTCCGGTCTCTCTGTTATTTATGTCGCCACCCCAAACACCGTCACGAGTATATGTGCTACAGCCCAATGGACGACCTGACCACTGACCTGAACAAGCTGGAGATGCGCAAAGAGATCAATATCCTTCTGCTAGGTGAGACCGGCGTGGGAAAGTCGACGTTCATTAACGCCTTCGCCAACTATCTAAACTTTGACGATATGCAGGTTGCCAAGGAGGACCTGCTGGCACTGATACCATCACAGTTTACGGTGTGCCAGGACAATGACTACGCGGGAGTGCTGGTGTCCATCGGCAAAAAGGACGCCAACGAGGAGGAAAGTCCAGGCAAGTCCTGCACCCAATCCTGCAAAGCCTATGTGTTCAATTACGGGGAGTATGTGGTACGCCTGATCGACACTCCAGGGGTCGGGGACACTGGCGGCATAGGGCAGGACAAGAAGAACTTTGACAACATCTTACGGTTCCTAAGCCATCACAAGCTGATCCACAGCATATGCATCCTGCTCAAGCCGAACAATGCAAGGCTGAACGTTTTGTTCCGCTTCTGCATCATGGAGTTGTTGTGCCACATCCATAAGAGTGCGAAGGACAATATTGTCTTCCTGTTCACAAACGCCCGCTCCACGTTCTATCGACCCGGAGACACGATGCCGCCACTGATGGAGATGCTCAAGAAGGTCCGCCACTCGCCTCCCAACGTTGACATCCAGCTGGGGAAGAGGACAATCTACAGCTTGGACAACGAATCCTTTCGCTTCCTGGCAGCTGTCAAAAAGGGTGTGAGATTTAGTGACAAGCAGACAGCGGACTTTGCAAAGAGCTGGAAGTGGTCGGTCAGCGAATGCAGGCGTCTCATCGATCACATCTTGAGTCTCCCTCCGCACAAAGTGCAGGACACCGTCTCCATCAACGAGGCCCGTCGTCTCATATTGGGATTAGCGAGGCCTCTTGGCGACATTAGCAAGGTCATCCAGATAAACAAGAACCTGATCGAGGACAAGATGAGCGAAGACGTGTCTGACATCAATCACATCGAGGATCTCAAGAAGAAATTGTTTGTACCATCCGTCGATCTGGAGTACCGCGAGCTCACACAGCCGCACACGGTATGTGCGGCTGATAGCTGTCGAGAAATCATCACAGTTGGCGGTCTGTCGAAGATCGATTACCAGACGCGCTGCCATGAGCCCTGCTTCTTGGTGAATGTGGGTGTCGAAACGCTGAACAACCCCTCGATAAGGAGCTGCTATGCAATCCAGTCCGATGGGAAGTGTCGCAGTTGCGGCTGTGGATGGGAAGTTCACATGCACGTCATGCATCAGACAAGGCTTATTTAATCGCAGCTACGGGACGAGAGCGTCCAGGATAGGATCAAGACCGTGGAAGATGCAAGAGCAAAGCATCGGAGGGTCATTCAGGAGATGGAGGACAAGTTGAAGAGATTGGATGAAGAACAACAAACCATATCCAGGACCCTCGCAAGGTTCGCTGTATTCCTTAAGGCCAATGCCATTACGCCTTACAACGACTCCACGCTCGAGTACCTGGGCCATCTGATTGACGAAGAGACAACTCTTCGGGACGCTGGAAAGGGCAACTCCGAGATTCTCAACGGACTGGTAAAGCTAAGGCAAGACTACGAGGAGGAGGTCAGGATCCTCACCACAGCCATGAACGATCCGTCAGGAGCATCTGCTCCGAGCACCTTCATCACTCCGGAGCAGATCAAGAGCAGTGTACAAGATTTATTTGCGCTGGAGGTCAATGGCTCGAACATCGAGAAGGCCGTGGAGGAACTGGAGAAGGCCCGTGTAGCGCATTTTGCCTACATGGAAACAGTGGTCAGGATGCGGGGTTTGGGGCCGAAGAAACCGTACCGCGGGGCACATGAGCAGCTAGTGCAGACACGTTACAGTTTACATACTGTCGGCCAACAGGGAGGAAGCACAAGCAGACAAGGCCGAGCGATGGAAGGGCAAGCTGGCGCAGGAGGAACACGTGGCGGGCTCAGCCACATGGATGGTCTGGGAGGAGGCAATTATCGGTACCATGAAAACCCCGTCGGCTATGACGGGCAAGGTGACGACTCTGGCATGTACCGATGGCCCACAGGCGGTTCCAGTCAAGGTGGCCATCATCGATGCGATTACGAGGGGGAATTCGTCGCCTACGGGAAAAGCGCGGCTTATAGGGATGAATGGCATGGGCAAGGCAGCAGGGAGTGGTCAGATATCTATGGCGATAGTGGCGGCGGCTTTAACCAAGATGTTGATAGACGAAATGCTGAGTACAGGAACTGCGCCTAGTGGCAGCCGCTTTGATCAAGACGTTGATAGACGAGAGGCTAAGCACAGGAATGGTGCCTATGGACTCAGTGGCGGCGGCTTTAATCAAGATGTTGATAGCCGAAATGCTGAGTACAGGAATGGCGCCTATACACAAGGGCCTGCCCAACCGCCTTCACGGTCGCAGTACCCTGCGGCCGAAAGGTGGAGGGGTAATGCTTCTCACCAAACGGCTCGAGGACCAGTGCACGATGCTGGTGGATGGAAGGTGCATCCAGGGGAACGGGCAAGGGAAGATCAGCTTTGCGACGATGCCACCGACATCGCATGATGCTCACCAACAGGGTAGGTCCCCCACTGCAGCAGCAAGTTCGTCCGGGAAAGGCTGGGGACCCTTACGATGGATTTGGAAATAAACAGATATTGGAAATTTGGTAGATACGGCCCACTCCGGCTGACAAGGACAGGCAATGAATAAAAGGTGGAGGGGGAGGGGGAGGGGTTGGAGGGAGTGCGCAAGGGGGTAGCTCAAAGATGAGCGGAGGAAGAAGGTGGTTGAAACGTGATATGGAGTAGAGATCTTTTTTACAGCGCTTGTAGTATGTGATAAACTCCCACCAATTAACGTCAGTAATGAATATGTCCATGTGTGTAGCCTACCAAGAGTCAAGCTTCCTTACCGCTTAGGTCCTCTCAGGCTCTCAGCAGAATCTGACTTGGTGTGCGGTGGAACAAGAGTGTCTTACCCGTTCATTATGAGTTTCACAGCTACGACTGAACGAAAAAGGTGTCTATAAGTAGGTCGATGTGATTCAAAGCATTCTCAGGTTTGCCAAACAAATGAATGTGGCGGTTATCACATTATCAGCTTTTTTTCCTCTCCGACCCCTTTGACAGTGCATGGAGTAGTGCACTGCTGATCCTGGAAGCGACTGGTTAGATGAGGCTCGCATTATTTGATATTCCGACAAAGCCAAGAGGTCTCTTTTTCTTACCGTCATGTGCTCCTCCCGTCTGAAAGTGTGGTTGGTCTTCGCGGCGCTTCTTCCCGAGTCACACAAACCATGGGAATGTCTGCTAAAGTGGCTTACACTTCAACACAAAATGCATTTCTTGACATTTTTCATGCATAGTTTTCATTTCTTATATTCACCGCTTGAGTTCTGCAGAATTTTACTAAGAAAAGGATCTGAGTTTTGTGCAGTCAGACAAGGAATGTCAGAGGAAAGGGATACATTGGCGATTATAGTGCTGTCAGCTGAGGATAACCTTTCGTAAGGTATTTCTGGGCAGCCCACTGTAGCTGGACTTTGGCAGGGATATTGTTTGATTGCTTCTATTTGCTTGAAGTAAGCGGGGTGAGCGCTGAACAGCTGGGAATGTCTGACATGCCCTTTCCGAATAAGGAAAGGTAAGGAGGGCGGCCAGGGCTACGGCAACAAGTAGGATGTTTGAAGGTAACTCTGTTCGCATAAACAATGTCTTCAAGATCATCTACGAAAGAAGGCTAGCCTGTAATGGCATTTCACATTTTGTGTGCACTACTGCGTCCTCCACCAGCGGGGCTGGTGTGCACGGGTCACGGCTGCTCATTTCAAGTCTTCCTAGCGAACCTCCCCTTCTCGGTGCTCCAGGCTGTGGATGGAAAAAGCAGGTGATAAATAATAGTAGTTGTAATAAGGGATAACTGCAGAAAAGCGCAGTTTGAGTTATTGTGTGTCACAGAAAACTGCGGTCGCAGAAAAGTGCGGCCCGCGCATCTTATCATCCAAAAACGGGTTCGGGTTGGCGAAAACATGCATTTGGCCCAACGTCTTTGGTAGATGCGCGGGCCGCACTTTTGTAAGAAAGTTACGTTTTCAAACGTCTTCGGCCCAACGCCTGGTACACCGAATACCAACCCGGCCAGAAGGAGTGGGCGGGGAAGGCGGGACGTGAATTCAAAATACAGTGCCTGCCCGCCCGCTGTTGGAGGGCGCGGTGTCCCGGCCCTTCGCTGTGTACCAGGCGTCCCCTCACATACCCCGCAGTGCACCAAGCCTTCCAGCCTACAGGCCTCTGGCAGGCTCCGTACTGTCATGCAGCAAGGGCAGAGGCCCCGTACTGTCATGCAGCAAGGG